ATCAGGCAAAGCATACTCCTTCTGGCTGAATTTATCTGCAATCAATAGAGGAAAAGTTAAGATTACTGAGGTTATATGAAAATTAGAAGTTAGAAAGCTTCATACCTTTGGGAGCCATGAGTTCGAAGTCAATGAAGTGCCGATCCCTGTCAATGAGGTGGGTAAAGCTTCGAAGCTTCAGAGATCATTTATAAATATCTGCAATAATATCCCACTCCGCCTCAGTTAGTTCGTACTGAGAGCTACAATCTGGGAATCAACAAATAAAGATCAGTATCAAGGAGTTATGCTTAAATTACAAGTAATTCAAGATGAGGCACTCACAAGCTTCGTAGTACTGGGTCGACACGGTAACGGTTGGGACAGCATCTCCCTCAACCATCTGCCACCTACCCGTTACCCAGAACCAGGACTCCTTCCACCCTTTTATGGAAGAGGGGAGCCCAACTACGAAGGGGACATGGGAGCCCCAAGGGGTGATATAATACCATCCCTTCGAGTCATCCTTCCCTATGACCCTAGCATGAAATAAAGTCTCGAAGACATGCAGGGGAAAGTCCTCGCCTAATGACACTTCCTTCTAAAGGAAGTAGGTCCCTACGACTTGGTTTCACCCATTTGGAAGAATTTGGGTAGGAGACAACATGAAGGTCCTTAGCACCGCTCTAAAGAAATGGTGCAGAGGCAGACGCACACCTGCTTTAAGCAGGTATTCACTGAAAGCCACTCAATTTGGCCTCGGAAAATAGGCTCTTTCATGGGGGGTCAGGAATACGATAGGTGTTCGGCTAATTTGGAAGAGGTTATNGTCGGCACGGTATCGGCTAGGACAGCATCTCCCTCAACCATCTGCCACCTACCCGTCACCCAGATCCAGGACTCCTTCCACCCTTTTATAGAGTAGAGGAGCCCAACTACGAAGGGGGCATGGGATCCCCAGGGGGTGATATAGTACCACCCCTTCGAGTCGTCTTTACCCACTACCCTTGCATGGAAAAGAGTTTCGAAGACATGCAGAGGCATGTTCGCCCAAGGACACCTCCTTCCAGAGGAAGTAGGCCCCTACGACCTGACTCCACTCGTAGGGCAGAATTTGAGTGGGAGACAACATGAAGGTCCTCAGGACCGTCCTAAAGAATGGGTGCAGAGGCAAACGTACACCTGCTTTGAGCAGGTACTCACTGAAAACGACACAACATAGCCTTGAAAAATAGGCTCTTTCATGAGGCTCGGGGACTATCAGTTCTACATAGCGAGGTATGTTGTAAGTCTCCCTAAGCTCGGCTAATTTAGAAGAGGTTATGGAGGATGGGATTTTAGCTGCCCCCCAACCCGCCTCATAATCTATGGGTTCCTCATTCATGCTATACCATTCACCCGAGGCCCCAGATATAGACTCATCCCCGAGCCTTACTAAGGTGATGGCCGTAGAAGCCTCAGAAGACATTGTAGTTAAACAAAAAGAAATGATGTAGAAGGGTCGAAAGATGGTGGCCGGAATACCTAACTGGATGAAGAATCTAGAATACTCGCCGGAAGGTGGTGGCCGGAAAACTCGACAGCAAGAGAACTTGAGAGGATTTGATGAATTTTTGCAAATGGTAAAAGGTTGAAATGACAAGGTTTTGATTTTTATATGTATGAAGGATTCTACGCTGGCCGTTGGATCAAAGTCTAGTCGATCTGAAGCGTCCAAAATCAAGTACATCTGAACCACAGATTGCGAACGGTTTGTATATCCTACGCCTCAGATTCATGCATACTCATCACGACTAGTTGGGCGCGTGACTACTCTTCCCA